AAATAAATAAATATGTGCTGTTGGGCTCCAGTTTAAATAATCAGGATCCAGGAAGGGCAGGAGATGGCAGAGCTGCCCCCAGAGCACAGGTTCTTCCCCAGGTCTGCTTCCCCAGGTGTCCTGCTGCCACCACGGCCAGAACTTGTGCCTGTGGTGCTGTTCAGCAGTTCCAGCCCTGTCCTTCCTTTGTGCTGATTGGGAAACAACAGTGTGGGGCTGGTTTGTGTGGGGCTGTGTTCTGCCATCCTCCACACTGCTCCCTCCTGGAGTGAAGTACAGCTGTATCCCTAATCCTAAAAGTTAAGGGGTCAACCTGGAGTCCCCCCTGGAGCTTTCTGCCAGAGATTCCAGGTAAGGCCATTCCCCTGGCTGTGGTTAGGGCACATTTTCTACATCTTGTCCTGTCTGGGGTGGCCCCAGAGTTTCTGTGTGAACAATCTTCTGCTTCATTTATTTGGTCAAAGCCTTGTTGTAGCTCAGGGCCACGTTTGAAAATAGTTGTTCTTCACAGAATCACAGGAGCCTTAAGGCTGGAAAGGACCTTTCAGATGGTCAACCCAGCGCTGCTGTGATCACCACTAAACCAGGGGTGGTGACTCCACCACTGCCCTGGGCAGCCTGTGCCAATGCTTTACAACCCTTTTGATGAAGAAATTTTCCCTACTATCCAATCTGAAAACCACCTTCCAGAGGGATTTGGACTATTTCCTTCGCTTTCCCAAAACCCTCTGCTGCGCTGCCGCACACCATGAACGCGCTGCGGGCGTTGCAGAGCTCCCCCCTGTCCGGCACAGCGCGGATGGGTGAGCAGGGCTGTGTTGGCACCCCGGGACAGGCCATTCCCGGTGTCCTGGTCACGCCTGTCGCCGTTCACCACCGGGGCATCGACCGCGGGTAACCCCGAGGGGGTGGGGCCTCCCCGTAATTGACATCTGTTTCATCCAATAGAGTGGCGACGCGCGCCTCTCCAGCGGGGGTGTGGCCTCGCTGTGACTGACAGCCCCCTTGACCAATAGCGCAGCTGTGCGCCTGTGTGGGCGGGACCTCGCCGTTACTGACAGCGGCTTCGCCCAATGGCATCTTTCGCGCGGGGCCGTGGGCGGGGCGGGGAGGTTTAAAGGGGCCCCGCCCGGCGCGCGCGCCGCCTCATGAGTCGCTGCTGCGCGCGCGCTCCCGCCGGGCCCTGAGGTAACGCGCGGTCCTAAAGCCCGACCGCCGTCCTACAGCCCGCCCGGGGGTGCGGGGAGGGGCCTGCGGGCTGTGTGTGTCTGTGTGTCTGTGTGTGTGTGTGTGATGGCTCCCCACGGCTCTCTGGGTGTCCCCAGTGGGGCTCGGTGCGGGTGGGATGCGTGGCCCGTGCCCACCCGTGGCGGGGGTTTGGCTGTGGGATTCACCTTTCTTGTGTCGGCTGCTCCTAATGTCCCTTTGCGGGTGGGTGTCTGGGGAGTGGGGGTGAAGGTTTTTTTGGGATTTTTGGTTAAATAACCCCCCACTCGGGTTGGGGATAACCCTGTGGGCTGAGGCAGTGGGTGGTCCGAGGGGAAGGTCTGTCCCTTCCACATGACACCTGTGCCCATCGAGGGAATGTGACATGACCTGGGCACTTGGGGATGCTCTGTGGGGTGATCTGAGCACTTGGAGGTGCTCCATACACTGACCTGGGCACTTGGAGATGGTCCATGAGGTGACCTGAGCACTCAGCGATGCTCTGTGAGGTGATCTGGGTGCTTGAGGATGCTCCTTAAGGTGATCTGGGTGCTTGGGGATGCTCCATGTGGTGACCTGAGTGCTTGGGATGCTCCTGCTCTGGCTCCCAGCCCTCCTGAGCTTCCAGCAGATACAATGCCATGTGTGGCAGTGGCAGAAACACAGCTGATGCATCCCTGGAAACACTTCCCTGTGCTTTCCTACATCCCTGTGCTCTCCTCCTCCTCTAGAGGGGAGTTCCCACCCGCTGTGCAGATGGTGCAGTAAAGCAAACAGCTCTGTAGGAAAGAGGAACTCGGAGCAGCCTCCTGGTGAGTCACGTGTCTGTGGAATCCACCTGAAACACCCCGGGGTCCTGGAGAAGCAAACTGCACGAAACTGAGAGTTCTGTGCTTGTCTGGGTGGCTGAGGAACAGTTCTGGTGCCATCAGTGCCCTGCCCTGGGTCTGTGGGCAGCTCCCTTCAGCCAAAGCTCAGCTCTGAAGGTGCTGTGGTGGAGTCAAGTGTCTGTGTGCAGTCCTGACAGTCACTCATCATCCTCAGAGAGCTTGGAGTTACTTTTCCTCGTGCTCCCTCCTCTCCAGCATCAGGTAATTCTCCAGCACAACCAGTGGTACTGCTGAGGACAAAACCTTTAGTGCTCAGGAAGTTTTTGTGGCTGCCCTTGCTAAAAATGGAGTTTATCTAAAAGAGGAAGAGTAGGTTGCTCAGCTTCTGTTTCCTCACTTAATAAATCTTGAAAGGAGACAAAGGAGCAAAAAGGGCCAGGTTGGAGTTTTGGTGGAGATGTGGAAAGGCAGCAAGATAAGGTGGCAGTTGCCTAAAGCTGCTCTGGACAGTGAAATCTGGAGTGGGGTGGATGTGGTGTCTGTACCAGTTAGAAGAAATCAGCCACAGGAAGCCGAGTGGGCTGTGCTGGAAAATGTCAAAGGCTCATAACACCTTCAGTAATTTGAATTTGAACTGATGTTGTTGAAGGTGTGCTATAAATGAAACCTCCTGCCAGGAGTTTGCACGTTGTCAGACATTTATTCAAACTCTGCAGTGGTTTCAATAGAATCATTCAACTTCCAGTTCTTCTGGGACACGGTGCTCCCTCAAAGCACAAAGTGTTTTGTATTTAAATGATTTAAGGAGTCAGGCAGGTTTAATTAAAAGGGAGGTTTCTTGCCGCGGGTTTTTGTTTGGGTGTGTGCTCTCCACGTTCCTGAACGTCTGTGGGACATCACGATGTGTTAACTGCTCTGGGAACAATGAGAGGCGGGCTGTCGTGTGTCCAGGAGAGAATCATTCTGATCCCATCCTGGTGATCTGCCCCAGGGGTTACACCTGGCTCTGGTGAACCATGGAATGGTTTGGGTTGGAAGGGACCTTAAAGCTCACCCAGTTCCAACCCTGAAACACGTGTGTTTTCCAGTGGATTGTATTTATAACTGAGCATCAAGGAGGGGGGGACTGAGCTGCAGAGTTGAGCAGAGCTAGGGAGTGTATATTGGGAAATTTTTGTTTCTAACCTAAATTTGTTGTCTAAAATGCATGACTGGTTTGTGATCCCTGCGTTCACAAGGAAACCTGCACAACCAGGTTGCACTTCAGCTGTCTGTCCAAGGCCAGGTTGGATGGGGCTTGGAGCAACCTGGTCTGGTGGAAGGTGCCCCTGCCTATGGCAGGGGATGGAATGAGATGAGTTTTAAGGTCTCTTCAACCCAAACCATTCTGGGATTCAATGATTCTGTGACAGCTGGAGTGAGAACACCAGTTTTCCCTTGAAACTCTGTTGCTGCATTAAAAGCACAGCCAGCCAGAGGAACACTGCAATTAGTGCGGAGGCCAAAGCTTCCTCCAGGGCCACAGGGGAGCCCTGAACCCCTTGTTGTGGGTGCTGGTGGGTGCAGAATTGCACAAGGGGGTCAGGCCCCGTGGGGTTTGTCCCTCCTGGGCTCGTGCTCGATTTCTCCTTGAGCAAGAGAGGCCGTGGTGGCACCGAGAAGTCTGGGATCTATTGTGCTCTCCCACATGTGGGTTTGAGCTCCTCCGGGCTGGGAACTGCCCCAGCTTGGGCAGGTCTGTGCAGAGATAACCCCCCTCTTCTCACAGCTCATAACTCCCCCCAGATAAACCGCTCTGCTCTTTCAGCCTAGAACGGGGGTGTTGGGCAACATCTGCCGGTTATCTCGGCGCTTCAGAGCTGGAGGTTTTTTTTTTTTGAGACATCCCAGTCTCAGCTGCCGGTGAATTAAACTGTTCCTGGCGTGGCTGAAGCAGAGTGTGGCGTGAGCAGCGACGTGTCTTGCTCAGATGAGTAAGCGGAAAGGGGGACGTGCTTTCCAGGGCTCTGAGCTGTGCCTGGCGTGGCTTTCCCCTCCCGTCAGAGGCTGCAGCGTGGCTGGCTCTGATTTATTAAAAGGGCTCTTTCGCTCCTGTCGCTCATCATTGATGCAAACGCGCTCTTCGCATCACCCGATTTAAACGCGTTTGTCTAATGCGGGTACAAAATAGCAGCCGAAAATCCACTTCTTAAAGAGATCAGGGATAATGAGATTCATCTCCAATCAGCTTGAAATCCCTTGAAACAATTAAAGCTCAGCCTGGCAACTCATAAGCGTCAAAGGCTTTTGATGAATGGAAACCTTAAATCAAATCAGCGTTTAAGAAAACACTTTTGTTTAGGTGATAAAATCCCCCGAGACAAAGTGCTGAAAGAAGCATAGGAGCTGCCAAAAAAACAGCTGCAAAACCGCTGGTTTTTATGAGAACTTTTAAAATCTAGGGTGTCCAAGGCTGCGTCCCCGGAGAGGGACCCGAAATCCCCGGTGTGCCGGGGTTGAGGCGGGCGTGGGGCCAGAGCCTCCTTAAGAGGCGGCGGTGTGGGGTGACGAGCCGCTTCCAATTGCGAGGCAGCAGCACATGACATAAGATGCTCCAGATCTGCCTCCTGGGCGCTAGTTTAAAAATAAAGCCTATTCCACGTCGGGCTCGGCGCCGGTGCGGAGCGGAGGCTGCGGGACGGCGATGCGCTGTGAGGATGGAGCTCTGCGGGGTGGGGTGGGGGGCTGGGAGCCGAGCGGGAGCGTTTTGGGGCACAGGGAGTGTGAATTTAAATTGTCTGGCTCGTTGGGCTTTCTCAGAGCTGGGGGTGTCACGTTGGTTTTGCTGCAGGGTGGAGGTTTCAGCAGGTTTTCAAATTAACAGAGTGGCGGCGAACGCTGTCAGAATTTACCGCGTTTCATGCAGGTTCGAGTTGTGCCTCTTTGGGGCTGCCTCTCTCGTGTAGCTGCATCGACTGAAGCCGATTTACCGTAGAATTTGGTTGTATTTTAATTGTTAAAACCTGTTTTCGCAGGGACGATGCTGTGTGAGTCAGAGGCACGGATGGCACTCGCTGAACCAGTCCCCATGGCTTATTGTAATTCAGCTCCTGAAGGGAACTGTGAGGTGTCACTGAGTGATGTGCTGCTCAACTCTTCAGCCAGGTGTGCCTAATTTAAGGTTTTATTTAATCTGTGTACATAGTTTGTATTCTAATCTTACTTGGATTAATTAAAATCATTTTGGAAGAGCCTCTGCAGGGGACAGCTCGTGTGTGGTGCCTACACTGATCTCCACCAAACTCCTCTAAGAGGCTGCTTAGATTTACAGTCTGAAGAGCAGATTAGTGTTTAAGGGTCTATATCTCCCCACAGCATAATGGGATCTAGCTGAATAAAACCTCTTTACCTAAATTTTTTCAGGCTACACTGAATTACATGTCATAAGGGGGAGAAAAAAGATGACTTGATTGACTGTGAGGGAAATAGCTGGGGCTTTTTTGCTCATATTACTGGGTCATTTGCATGCTTTGATCATAAAAGCTGGTGGAGAAATGGTGCAGAACTATTGCTACTGAGGATTAATTTGTGCTGAAAAATGTTCTCGATAATGAGGAGGGAACATCTCATAATCCCTTTGGGGGAAATAAAAAAACATTATTTACTCAGCTCTGGTTGTTGGCTTGGAGATTAGTTCAGGGAAGCAGTTCTGCTTTTGGACAGTACATGGGATCAGCCATGTCAGGTCTTCTCTGTGCCTTAAATCTTATATTCCCAAAGCAGTAACAGTTGACTTGACTATTCCCTAGAAAATCAGAGCAAGCATAAACCAGAGGGAAGGGATTTCCCCCTTACACTGAAATTCTCGTAGTGGCTGTACTGACTTGCCTTGTCTCTGATCTGGTAGAAGGGGAATAAAATGTGGGGTTCAGTGGAAGACCCGCCTGGATTGTGTGGGAGCAGAGGAGCTCCACCTGTCTGCTCCTTTTTGCCCCAGAGCTGTCCTACAGAGTTTTGGGGTTATTGTGATGTCAGGGCCCTGCAGCCATTCCAGAACACCCTGGAGCTGGGGCTACAACCAAATGTTGTCATGGGGAAGAGAAAACACCGAGCACTGGCCTGGTGAAACACCTTCATGATGGCCTGAAGAAAAGGGCCTTGGTAGGGCAAGGCAAGATGGAAATTTTGGGTCTCTGGAGTATAATCTTGGGTCAGCTAGAACTTGGATTTAGGGCTATGCTGATGGTCCAGGCAGGGTATTGCCCAGGGCAGGGGAACAAGCATCAGCTGCCTGGTTGGAGCGTGGGCTGTCCTTCTAGGGACCAAATCCCAAATCTCACAGGGTCTGGCTTCCAGCTCATGGTCTCAACTTGATTATGCCTTATCCTCATCATTAGGACTGTGAGAAAGTCCTTCTTGGAAAGGGCTGGAGGAAGAAAACTGGTTTGCAACCAGGGACAAGTGGTACTTCACCAGGTCTTGCAGGGCTGGAAGGAAAAGGGATGACTGGGAGGAGCGTGGCTGGAGTACATGGGATGTACCTGTTCCCATTCCTTCACAGACATCTGGTGGGAGCCCAATGGCTTTATTAGGAATACACAAGAACAAGATTTCCTGTGAAATCAGTTTCCTGCTCTTCTGCAGGAAACCTCCATGGGTTTTCCCACAGGGTGACTTGAGGCAAGCCCTGGGGCCTCCTTGTTGTTGAACTCATTTTGCAGAGAGGAGATGAGCCCCAGATCCATGTGGCCCTTCCTACCCCCCTCCTTCTCCTCCCAACTGCATATTCTTTGTTTCAGGCACCTGGAACAGACCTCTGGAGTTAAATGATGCCTGTTTTGGAGCTGTTAAGTTTATGGGTTGCAATGAAAGCTGCAATTAGGGCAACATCCATGTGTTCAAAACCAGCGTAGGCAAAGCTTGCACACTCTGAGGGACCTGAGCCATGCAGGGTAGTGGATTAATAAAGTCACCTGCAGGACATCAGGAGCCACTTCAACATCCAAGGATTTAGTGAAATGAAGTGATGGAGCAAACCTGCCCTCAGTGTGCTCATTCTGCTTTTGCCTTGCAGAACTCCTGAGCCCCACAACATCGAGCCAGGGGAAGATTCCAACATGGAGAGACATCAGCTGGACTCAGTTGATCCCAAAGGTGAGTATGAGAAGTTTGGTCACTGTGATGTGCATAAAATTATTGTTGGAATGAGAGAGGAATTTATCCAACCATAAGAATGGAAGAAGGAGCTCAGGGTGCAGGATAGGCTGTCCAGAGGTGTCTTGAACTTAGACTTTGAAGCACAGCTGTGCTTCGAGGAGTAAATAAGTAGTGTCAGGTACCAATGTCCTGCTTTCAGCCCTCCTTAAAAGAAAAACAAATTAAAAATAGCAGAGTATATGCTGGAGGAAGCTGCCACCTTACAGTGCAAGAGCTTTTGAGCAGCAGAGCGGGTTAGAGGAAATGTTTAACAAAATTTTGAAGTGCTTTAGAGGCTCCCAGTCCAAAATAGGGGGGATCCTGTGGCAAACTTGCCAAGAGGAAAAGGTCGAAAAAGGGGTGTGAGAGGGGTATAACAACATTTGCTATTGTGTGCTTGATACTTGGATTTATATTTCTGTCATGGCAGCAAGAAATGTTGAAACCTAAGATGCTGAACCCTTTCTTTCCAAGCAGCCTCCTCCTCTCCTGCCTCTAGAGTGTGGACAACACGTCGGGATGGGGAGGTCAAGCTGAGGATGGAAGACCAGGGAATAGGCAGTGAACCACCAAAGACTGTTCACCAGCTCTTCCAGGAAACTGTCAATAAATATGGGGACTATTATGCCCTTGCATCCAAAAAAGGTGGCCAGTGGGTCAAACTAACATACAAAATGTACTATGATGAGTGCTGTAAAGCAGCAAAAAGCTTTCTGAAGGTGAGTTTTTGTTGAGCTCTTGTTCATATTCATTGAATCACGGAGTGGTTTGGGTTGGAAGAGACCTTAGAGCTCATCTCATAAAACACCCTGCCATGGACAGGGACACCTTCCACTAGCCCAGGTTGCTCCAGGTCCCATCCAGCCTGGCCTTGGACACTTGCAGGGATGGGGCAGCCACAGCTGCTCTGGGCAACCTGTGCCAGGGCCTCACTGCCCTCACAGGGAAGAATTCCTTCCCAATATGTAATGTAAATCTCTCCTCTTTTTGTTTAAAACCGCTCCCTCTTGTCCTACCACTGTGTAAAAAGTCAGTTTAATGTTCACTCATTTAAGTGCTGGAATGGCTGCAGTCAAATGTATTTTAAACCTTCCAATTCTCTGAGTGTAGATGAGTCTTTCAGTGACAGCGAAGTACCTGAACATGCCATGGGCACCTTGGTACTCCCCACAGGGGTTTTGTCTGAATTTATTGCAAGTTGGTTCCACATCCAACTTCAAAAAAGGCATTTAAGGAGACATATAAAGTGAGGTGTTTGAGGTTTTGAGGCAAACCTGGACACTGCACCTCCAGAGGCTTGGAAATGTTAATCTTTCAAATTCAAAATTTGAAGGGATGCTTGTGAACCAGCCTTAAATGTCCCATCTGGCCCTGCCTTTTGCCTGTGCTGTTGGGATTGAGACACTCAGAGAGGGAAACCAACACTCCATGTTCTTACTGTTATGATGAAGTCTGGCTTCTTCAAGTCATGGTCACCCTGGTCTCACTCCCGTGGTGGGATCTTCCCGTCTGGGACAAAACCGGAGGGAGATTTAAAGACTGGGACTCCTCCAGCTGAAATTTCATCCCAAAATGTCTCTGACTGTCACTGGAGCTTGTTACTCTTGTCACTGTTGATATCTGATATATCCAACTGTATTAAATGTCTCAGGAGATGTTATCTAACTTCACCTCTTCTCCTTCCCAGAGGGAACCGAGAACTCCCTGGATTGCAGGTTTGTGTTGGTGTCAGTGAGCCAGGCATTCCAAGCACAGAGCTCTGCAAAGCCCTTTTTCCTTCCCACTGATAGCAGGACAGTGCCTGATGTGGAACTTAACTGGTTCCATCCTGGCTCTTGGGAAGTTTTTCAGTGGGAATCACTCTGTCCAACAACACAAACTCTCTCCTGTTCCCTGTGTTTGCAGCAGAGATCTGTAAATTAACTCTGAGCTTTCTTTGAAGGAAAACCAAGAGTGCTGTAATTCCATCTCTTGTTTACAGCTGGGGCTGCAGCGTTTCCATGGAGTGGGCATCCTGGGATTTAATTCTGCTGAGTGGTTCATTGCTGACATTGGAGCAATCCTTGCAGGGTAAGAACAAGTCTTGTCTCTCGCCATGAATTTTGGCACTCAGTAATTGCAGTATCCACATGAGAAGCAAATATGATTAAAACCCCCCAACTAAACCAACCACAAAAAAACCCCAAACCCAGTTGTTTGTATTTTAATATAATGAAGGAAACGACAACCTCGACTTAATTCAGAATGAATCAATGAGACAAGAATTAATATTTTTGTTTTTAGCCAAATGCTTCTCTCAAAATAAGATGACCACTAGGTTAATCCAAAAGATTTCTTATATATACTGTGATTAAAAATATAATGGGAAATGCCAGAGAATCCCAGGATGGATTTTGATATCTTCCTTCCATCTGAGACATTTTGGACCCTTACACCACTCTGACATTTCCCATGCTCCACATCAGAGCCTTTGCTCTTGGAATTAAACCCTCCACTTTTTCTTGTCATATTATGGGATATTCTTCTCAAAGTTTTTCCTCTGAAAAGGTCTGAGTTTTGCCAGCAATTCTTCTTGTCCTCTAATTCTGTGTTTTGCTTTTCTGTTTTGTTTTTTCCCCTCTTCCCTTACAGTGGATTTGCTGTTGGGATCTACACAACAAACTCTCCCGAGGCCTGTCACTATGTGGCAGAGAACTGCAGTGCTGATGTTATAGTGGTGGAAAACCAGAAACAGCTGCAGAAAATCATAGAAGTAATTCTATTTTTCAGATGTCTGGGGGTTACAGCATCCTGTTGACAGCTGTGGGAGGGTAATACCAGAGGGGAGTGCTGGCTCTGAAAGCAGAGGTGAACTGGCTGAGCCTTCTTGGTGCCTGGCTCAGATGGGTTGTCTCTTGTACTGAGTCTCACAAGAGGTGAAGTGGTGGTTTCCCTTCTTAAAGCCTTGAGAAGCCAAAATGAACAATTGAACAGCCTCTAGGATGTCTGGCAACGTCCCAGCTCAAATTATGAGTTTCTAGTGAGGCTTCCCTGTTATTTCAGTAGCACAGATGGGATTCTCTTGGCTTTAAATAAAATGGCAAATAGCAGGAGCATGCCAAGTGGTGGGTTATGTGGCCTGGAAGGGACAAGCAGGATTTGCTCCTTCTCATGAATCTCCCTTCTTAACACAGATTGAGGATAGACTACCTCAGCTGAAGGCCATTGTCCAGTATGGGGAAGAGATAAAGGAGAAGAGACCAAATCTGTACTCGGTAAGCCCTGGGCATCTTCATGGCTTGTAAGTCCTGGTTGTGTTCAGGTGGTGTCTCCAAGTACCTGTCACCTTCCATGGGACCTTAAACATCCCTGCCCGTGGCAGGGGGTGGAACAAGGTGGTCTTTAAGGTCCCTTCCAACCCAAACTAGTGTGGGATTCTGTGGCTGTGATCCCATGAGCTTGTGTTGGCCATGGTGAGGGATTGCCTGCCCCACTGGGCAGGAGCTGTTGTGCAAACCTGGATAATCCCTGCTCTAAGGAGGGTGTTGGATTACCCACCTCTGCAAGGCAGCCCTGCGTCCCACAGTTACTCCAGTGAGTACCGGGATTGCTACAGAGCTGGAAAGCTGCTCAGGATGGGTCTGTCTCCTTTCTGCTTCTCTTGTGGCAGCCAGAAAACAGTGTGGGGCGGTGCGTATCTTCCAGAGGCTTGAACACAGGGAATGGCTTCCTTCTCTTCGTGTGTAGCAAAGGGTTTAATTTTTCACATGAAAGATCACAAAGTGATGGAGCTCTTCTCTTCTTTGCACAGTGGAGTGAGTTCA